TGAGAGACTGAGTGACTAACTGAGTGACTAACTGAGTGAGTGACTGAGTGAGTGACTGACTGAATGACTGACTGAATGACTGAGTGACTGAGTGACTAACTGAGTGAGTGAGTGACTGAGCGAGTGACTGAATGACTGAGTGACTGAGTGACTAACTGAGTGACTGAGTGACTAACTGAGTGACTGACTGAGTGACTGACTAACTGAGTGACTAACTGAGTGACTGACTGACTGACTGACTAACTGACTGACTGACTGAGTGACTGACTGACTGAGTGACTGACTGAGTGACTGAGTGAGCGTCACCTCCGAGCTGGGGCTCTTGAGCCACAGTAACTTGGCGAGATCGTCCCCTGCTGTGTTGTTCACCGTGTGCTCAAACACCTCCACCTTCTGTAGCAGGAGCGAGTGACTGAGTGACTGACTGAGTGACTAACTGAGTGACTGACTGAGTGACTGACTGAGTGACTGAGTGAGTGAGTGACTGAGTGACTGACTGAGTGACTGAGTGACTGACTGACTGAGTGACTGAGTGACTAACTGAGTGACTGACTGACTGAATGACTGACTGAATGACTGAGTGACTGAGTGACTAACTGAGTGAGTGAGTGACTGAATGACTGACTGAATGACTGAGTGACTGAGTGACTAACTCAGTGACTGAGTGACTAACTGAGTGACTGACTGAGTGACTGACTGACTGACTAACTGAGTGACTAACTGAGTGACTGAGTGAGTGAGTGACTGAGTGACTGACTGAGTGACTGACTAACTGAGTGACTGACTGACTGACTGAGCGAGTGACTGAGTGACGAGTGACTGAGTGAGCGTCACCTCCGAGCTGGGGCTCTTGAGCCACAGTAACTTGGCGAGATCGTCCCCTGCTGTGTTGTTCACCGCGTGCTCAAACACCTCCAACTTCTGTAGCAGGAGCGAGTGACTGAGTGACTGAGTGAGTGACTGACTGAGTGACTGACTGAGTGACTAACTGAGTGACTGACTGAGTGACTGAGTGACTGAGTGACTAACTGAGTGAGTGACTGACTGAGCGAGTGACTGAATGACTGAGTGACTGAGTGACTAACTCAGTGACTGAGTGACTGAGTGACTGAGCGAGTGACTGACTGACTGACTAACTGAGTGACTAACTGAGTGACTGACTGACTGAGCGAGTGACTGAGTGAGCGAGTGACTGAGTGACTAACTGAGTGACTGACTGAGTGACTGACTGACTGAGTGACTGACTGACTGACTGAGCGAGTGACTGACTGACTGACTGAGTGACTGACTAACTGAGTGACTGACTGAGTGACTGAGCGAGTGACTGAGTGACTGAGTGAGTGACTGACTGACTGACTGAGTGACTGAGTGACTGACTGACTGACTGAGCGAGTGACTGACTGAGTGACTGAGTGAGCGTCACCTCCGAGCTGGGGCTCTTGAGCCACAGTAACTTGGCGAGATCGTCCCCTGCTGTGTTGTTCACCGCGTGCTCAAACACCTCCAACTTCTGTAGCAGGAGCGAGTGACTGAGTGACTAACTGAGTGACTGAGTGACTGACTGAGTGACTGACTGAGTGAATGACTGAGTGACTAACTGAGTGACTGACTGACTGAATGACTGACTGAATGACTGAGTGACTGAGTGACTAACTGAGTGAATGACTGAGTGACTAACTGAGTGACTGACTGACTGAATGACTGACTGAATGACTGAGTGACTGAGTGACTAACTGAGTGACTAACTGAGTGAGTGACTGAGTGACTGACTAACTGAGCGACTGACTGAGTGACTGAGTGACTGAGTGACTAACTGAGTGACTGACTGAGTGACTGACTGACTGAGTGACTGAGTGACTGACTGAGTGACTAACTGAGTGACTGAGTGACCAACTGACTGACTGAATGACTGACTGAGTGACTGACTGACTGACTGAGCGACTGACTGACTGACTGAGCGACTGAGTGACTGACTGAGCGAGTGACTGAGTGAGCGTCACCTCCGAGCTGGGGCTCTTGAGCCACAGTAACTTGGCGAGATCGTCCCCTGCTGTGTTGTTCACCGCGTGCTCAAACACCTCCAACTTCTGTAGCAGGAGCGAGTGACTGAGTGACTGAGTGAGTGAGTGACTGAGTGACTGACTGAGTGACTGAGTGACTGACTGACTGAGTGACTGAGTGACTAACTGAGTGACTGACTGAGTGACTGACTGAGTGACTGACTGAGTGACTGACTGACTGAGTGAGCGAGTGACTGAGTGAGTGACTAACCGACTGACTGAGTGACTGAGTGACTAACTGAGTGAGTGAGTGACTGAGCGAGTGACTGAATGACTGAGTGACTGAGTGACTAACTCAGTGACTGAGTGACTAACTGAGTGACTGACTGAGTGACTCACTGAGTGACTGACTAACTGACTGACTGACTGACTGAGTGACTGACTGACTGAGTGACTGAGTGACTAACTGAGTGAATGACTGACTGACTGACTGAGCGAGTGACTGACTGACTGACTAACTGAGTGACTAACTGACTGACTGACTGAGTGACTGAGTGACTGAGTGAGTGACTGACTGACTGACTAACTGAGTGACTAACTGAGTGACTGACTGACTGACTGAGCGAGTGACTGAGTGACTGAGTGAGCGTCACCTCCGAGCTGGGGCTCTTGAGCCACAGTAACTTGGCGAGATCGTCCCCTGCTGTGTTGTTCACCGTGTGCTCAAACACCTCCACCTTCTGTAGCAGGAGCGAGTGACTGAGTGACTGAGTGAGTGACTGAGTGACTGACTAACTGAGTGACTGACTGACTGAGTGACTGAGCGAGTGACTGACTGAGTGACTGAGTGACTAACTGAGTGACTGACTGAGTGACTGAGTGACTGAGTGACTAACTGAGTGACTGAGTGACTAACTGAGTGACTGAATGACTGAATGACTGAGCGAGTGAGTGAGTGACTGAGTGACTGACTAACTGACTGACTGAGTGACTGACTGACTGAGTGACTGACTGACTGACTGAGTGACTAACTGAGTGACTGAGTGACTAACTGAGTGACTAACTGAGTGACTGACTGACTGACTGAGTGACTGAGCGAGTGACTGAGTGAGCGTCACCTCCGAGCTGGGGCTCTTGAGCCACAGTAACTTGGCGAGATCGTCCCCTGCTGTGTTGTTCACCGCGTGCTCAAACACCTCCACCTTCTGCAGCAGGGTCAGGTGGTCGTAGTCCGGAGCCATCTGACGACGAGACACAGAGACACAGAGAGAGACACGGAGTGAGACACAGAGAGAGAGACAGAGAGAGAGAGACACAGAGAGAGAGAGACACAGAGAGAGAGACACAGAGAGAGAGAGAGAGACACAGAGAGACAGAGAGAGAGAGACAGAGAGAGAGAGAGACAGAGAGAGAGACAGAGAGAGAGACACGGAGAGAGAGACACAGAGACACAGAGTGAGAGACAGAGAGAGACACGGAGTGAGACACAGAGAGAGAGACAGAGAGAGACACGGAGACACAGAGACACAGAGAGAGACACACAGAGTGAGAGAGACACAGAGAGAGAGACACGGAGACACAGAGAGAGACACAGAGAGAGAGACACACACAGAGAGAGAAACACAGAGAGACAGAGAGAGAGACAGAGAGAGACACACAGAGAGAGAGACAGGGAGGGAGAGACTCACCCGTCCGCTCACCCGCCTGCCCGACCACTCACCAGCCGACTCACCCACCCACTCACCAGCTCACCTAACGGCCCGCCCACCCACTCACCCACCCACTCACCCACCCACTCACCCACCCACTCACCCGCCCGCTCACCCACTCACCCACCCACTCACCCACCCGCTCACCCACCCGCTCACCCACCCGCCCACTCACTCACCCGCCCACCCACTCACCCGCCCACCCACTCACCCGCTCACTCACTCACTCACCTGTCACTCACCCGCCCACTCACCCACCCACTCACCCACCCACTCACCCACCCGCTCACCCGCCCACCCGCCCACCCACTCACCCGCTCACTCACCCGCAGCATGATGCGGTGTTCAATGTTGAGGAGAATCTTCTTCTTGTCCCGGTAGTCACGGATGAGGGCGTGGAGCGTGTCACAGTGAGGTACCCAGCCAATGAGCCCCGAGTTGGTGGACAGGGGGATCACAGCGTAGCGCTGAATACTGAGCACACGGACACACGCAGAGAGACACGCAGAGAGTGAGACAGAGAGTGAGACACAGAGAGACACAGAGAGAGTGAGACAGAGAGTGAGACAGAGAGTGAGACAGAGAGACACAGAGAGACAGAGTGAGACAGAGAGACACAGAGAGACACAGAGAGACGCAGAGTGAGACAGAGAGAGAGACACAGAGAGAGACACAGAGACACAGAGAGAGACACAGAGAGACAGAGAGAGACACAGAGACACAGAGAGTGAGACAGAGAGAGAGACACAGAGAGAGACAGAGAGACACAGAGACACAGAGCGACACAGAGAGACAGAGAGACACAGAGAGAGTCACAGTGAGGTACCCAGCCAATGAGCCCCGAGTTGGTGGACAGGGGGATCACAGCGTAGCGCTGAATACTGAGCACACGGACACACGCAGAGAGACACGCAGAGAGTGAGACAGAGAGACACAGAGAGACACAGAGAGACACAGAGTGAGACAGAGAGACAGAGAGTGAGACAGAGAGAGACAGAGAGTGAGACAGAGAGAGAGACACAGAGAGACAGAGAGAGAGACAGAGAGTGAGACAGAGAGTGAGACAGAGAGTGAGACAGAGAGACACAGAGAGACGCAGAGTGAGACAGAGAGACAGAGAGTGAGACAGAGAGAGGGAGAGACAGAGAGTGAGACAGAGAGAGACAGAGAGACACAGAGAGAGACAGAGAGACACAGAGAGAGTCACAGTGAGGTACCCAGCCAATGAGCCCCGAGTTGGTGGACAGGGGGATCACAGCGTAGCGCTGAATACTGAGCACAGAGAGACACACGCAGAGAGACACGCAGAGAGTGAGACAGAGAGACACAGAGAGACACAGAGAGAGACAGAGAGACAGAGAGTGAGACAGAGAGTGAGACAGAGAGAGACACAGAGAGAGTGAGACAGAGAGTGAGACAGAGAGTGAGACAGAGAGACACAGAGAGACACAGAGAGACACAGAGAGACAGAGAGTGAGACAGAGAGTGAGACAGAGAGAGACACAGAGAGAGTGAGACAGAGAGTGAGACAGAGAGTGAGACAGAGAGTGAGACAGAGAGTGAGACAGAGAGAGAGACAGAGAGAGACACAGAGAGAGTGAGACAGAGAGTGAGACAGAGAGTGAGACAGAGAGTGAGACAGAGAGTGAGACAGAGAGAGAGACAGAGAGACACAGAGAGACACAGAGAGACGCAGAGTGAGACAGAGAGTGAGACAGAGAGTGAGACAGAGAGTGAGACAGAGAGACACAGAGAGACACAGAGAGACACAGAGTGAGACAGAGAGAGAGACAGAGAGTGAGACAGAGAGTGAGACAGAGAGTGAGACAGAGAGACACAGAGAGACACAGAGAGACACAGAGTGAGACAGAGAGAGAGACACAGAGACACAGAGACAGAGAGAGACACAGAAACACAGATAGAGACACAGAGAGACACAGAGAGAGACAGAGAGAGACACAGAAACACAGAGAGAGACACAGAGAGACACAGAGAGACAGAGAGTGAGACACAGAGTGAGACAGAGAGACACAGAGACACAGAGAGACACAGAGTGAGACAGAGAGACACAGAGAGAGACACAGAGAGACACAGAGAGAGACACAGAGAGACACCCAGCCAATGAGCCCCGAGTTGGTGGACAGGGGGATCACAGCGTAGCGCTGAATACTGAGCACACGGACACACGCAGAGAGACACGCAGAGAGACACGCAGAGAGTGAGACAGAGAGACACAGAGAGAGAGACACAGAGAGTGAGACAGAGAGAGAGACAGAGAGACACAGAGAGACACAGACAGACACAGAGAGACACAGAGTGAGACAGAGAGTGAGACAGAGAGACAGAGAGTGAGACAGAGAGTGAGACAGAGAGACACAGAGACACAGAGAGACAGAGAGACACAGAGAGTGAGCGAGCGAGTGGGTGGGTGGGTGAGTGAGTGGGTGAGTGAGTGAGTGAGTGGGTGAGTGAGTGAGTGAGTGGGTGAGTGAGTGAGCGAGTGGGTGGGTGAGTGAGTGAGCGAGCGGGTGAGCGGGTGAGCGGGTGGGTGAGTGAGTGGGTGAGTGAGTGAGCGAGCGGGTGGGTGGGTGAGTGAGCGAGTGGGTGAGTGGGTGAGAGATTGAGTGAGTGAGTGGGTGGGTGGGTGGGTGAGTGAGTGAGTGAGTAAGTGAGTGAGCGAGCGGGTGGGTGGGTGAGTGAGTGAGTGGGTGAGTGAGTGAGCGAGCGGGTGAGCGAGTGAGTGAGTGAGCGAGTGGGTGAGCGGGTGAGTGGCCGACTGACCGACTGACCGACTGACCTCAAGTTCTTTCGCATGGACGCTGGGTCGTTGGCCAGCAGCGTGTTGACCAGGCCGAACAACTGCATGACCCTCTCATCCTGCCTCAAGTCCTCGTGGCCCTTCAGCAGGAACATGAACTCGTGCCCGTTGCTGCCTGCGATGGGGGGGGGCGCGCGCAACAACGGACAAGGCAAAGGTCCCCCAGGCAGCCTCCTGCGCCCACTCTCTCACTCACTCACTCACCCACTCACTCTCTCACCCACTCACCCACTCACTCACCCACTCACTCACTCACCCACCCACTCACCCACCCACTCTCTCACTCACCCACTCACTCTCTCACTCACTCACCCATTCACCCACTCACTCACTCACCCTCTCATTCACTCACTCACTCACCCACTCACTCACTCACCCACTCACTCACTCTCCCACTCACTCACTCTCTCACTCACTCACCCACTCACTCTCTCACTCACTCACTCAATCACCCACCCACCCACCCACTCTCTCACTCACCCACTCACTCTCTTACTCATGCACCCTCTCACCCACTCACTCTCTCACCCACTCACTCTCTCACCCACTCACTCTCTCTCACCCACTATCTCACTCTCTCACTCTCTCATTCACTCACCCACGCTCTCACTCTCTCTCTCACTCACTCACACACTCTCTCACCCACCCTCTCACTCACTCACCCACTCACTCACTCTCTCACCCACTCACTCACTCACTCTCTCACCCACTCTCTCACTCACTCTCTCACCCACTCACTCACTCTCTCACTCTCTCACTCACTCACTCACCCACTCACTCACTCACTCACCCACTCACTCACTCACTCACCCACTCTCTCACTCACCCATGATGGTGAGCTTGCGAGGCCTCTGCTTGGAGGTGATGACTTGCAGGGCCGATGCTATGCTCTCTATTCTCACCACTCACTCACTCATTCACCCTCTCACTCACTCTCTCACTCACTCTCTCACTCACTCTCTCACTCACTCTCTCACCCACTCTCTCACTCTCTCACTCACTCACTCACCCACTCTCTCACTCTCTCTCTCACTCACCCACTCACCCACTCTCTCACTCACCCACTCACCCACTCACTCACTCACTCACCCACCCCCCCACGCTCACCCATGATGGTGAGCTTGCGAGGCCTCTGCTTGGAGGTGATGACCTGCAGGGCCGATGCTATGCTCTCTATTCTCACCACTCACTCACTCTCACTCACTCTCTCACTCACTCACTCTCTCACTCACTCACTCACCCACTCACCCACTCTCTCACCCACCCACCCACTCACCCACACACTCACTCACTCACTCTCTCACTCACTCACTCACCCACTCTCTCACTCACCCATGATGGTGAGCTTGCGAGGCCTCTGCTTGGAGGTGATGACCTGCAGGGCCGATGCTATACTCTCTATTCTCACCACTCTCTCACTCACTCACCCTCTCACTCACTCTCTCACTCACTCTCTCACTCACTCACCCACTCTCTCACTCACCCACTCACTCTCTCACTCTCTCTCTCACTCACCCACTCACTCTCTCTCTCACTCACCCACTCACCCACTCACCCACTCTCTCACTCACTCACTCACCCACTCACTCACTCACCCACTCACTCACTCACCCACTCACCCACTCTCTCTCTCACTCACTCACTCACTCTCTCACTCTCTCACTCACCCACTCTCTCACCCACTCACTCACTCTCTCACTCACTCTCTCACTCACCCACTCTCTCACCCACCCACCCACTCACCCACTCTCTCACTCACCCATGATGGTGAGCTTGCGAGGCCTCTGCTTGGAGGTGATGACCTGCAGGGCCGATGCTATGCTCTCTATTCTCACCACCGCCTGATTGGGGTCGTACGTCCCCGGCACGGCCAGCTCCAAGTCACGGCACATGAGCAGCTTGGGGGAGACGTACTGCAGCTCCAGCGAGGTCAGCTGGGGTCACAGGGGTCATTGGAGGTCAGTGGGGGTTCATTGGGGTTCACGGTGTCCGTGTGGGTGGGTGGGGTTCACTGTGGCCGTGTGGGTGGGGTTCACGGTGGCCGTGTGGGTGGGTGTGGGTGGGTGGGTGGGGTTCACTGTGGTAGTGTGGGTGGGGTTCACGGTGTCCGTGTGGGTGGGTGGGGTTCACGGTGGCCGTGTGGGTGGGTGGGGTTCACGGTGGCCGTGTGGGTGGGTGGGGTTCACGGTGGCCATGACGGAGACACTGAGACCTTGGGTTCTAGCCTTTAGTCTGTGTGAGTCTCTCTCTGTGTGAGTCTCTCTCTGTGTGATTCTCTCTCTGTGTGAGTCTCTCTCTGTGAGTCTCTCTCTGTGAGTCTCTCTCTGTGAGTCTCTCTCTGTGAGTCTCTGTGTGAGTGTCTGTGTGAGTGTCTGTGTGAGTCTCTCTCTCTGTGTGAGTCTCTGTGTGAGTCTCTGTGTGAGTCTCTCTGTGAGTCTCTGTGCAAGTATCTCTGTGAGCCTCTCTGTGTGAGTCTCTCTCTCTCTCTCTCTGTGAGAATCTCTGTGAGTCTCTCTCTGTCTGAGTCTCTCTCTGTGAGTCTCTCTATGTGAGTCTCTCTGTGAGTCTCTCTCTGTGTGAGTCTCTGTGTGAGTCTCTCTGTGCGAGTCTCTCTCTGTCTCTCTGAGTCTCTCTCTGTCTGAGTATCTCTCTGTGAGTCTCTGTGTGAGTCTCTCTGTGAGTCTCTCTCTGTGTGAGTATCTCTGTGAGTCTCTCTCTGTCTGAGTATCTCTGTGAGTCTCTCTCTGTCTGAGTATCTCTCTGTGAGTCTCTGTGTGAGTCTCTCTGTGTGAGTCTCTCTGTGTGAGTCTCTCTGTGAGTCTCTCTGTGAGTCTCTCTCTGTCTGAGTATCTCTGTGAGTCTCTCTCTGTCTGAGTATCTCTCTGTGAGTCTCTGTGTGAGTCTCTCTGTGTGAGTCTCTCTGTGAGTCTCTCTCTGTCTGAGTATCTCTGTGAGTCTCTCTCTGTCTGAGTATCTCTGTGAGTCTCTCTCTGTCTGAGTATCTCTCTGTGAGTCTCTGTGTGAGTCTCTCTGTGTGAGTCTCTCTGTGAGTCTCTCTGTGTGAGTCTCTCGTTCACGTTGGCTGTTCACCTGCGGCAGCTGCTTAGAGATGCGACGGAACACGTGGTAGTAGAGATCCCATGCCTGAGTGAGGTCCTTCTGGTTTCCCGACCTCATGAACTTGCGACACCAGTCCTGGGCCTCCATGAGGTCGCGCCCATAGGCCTACAGAGAGGGCAGGGGGAGAGAGGCACATGGAGGACACTGAACTGAGCCGGACAATTGCATGCAGCGACTCAACCAAACAACCACCCACTCTGTCACTCACCCACCCACCCACCCTCCCACCCACACACTCACTCTCTCACCCACACACCCACCCACTCTCTCACCCACCCACTCACCCACCCTCTCACCCACCCACTCACCCACCCACTCACCCACTCTCTCAGCCACCCACTCACCCACCCTCTCACCCACCCACCCTCTCACCCACCCGCTCACCCACTCTTTCACCCACCCTCTCACCCACCCACTCTCTCACCCACCCACCCACCCATTCTCTCACCCACCCACTCACCCACCCTCTCACTCACCCACTCACCCACCCACCCACTCACCCACCCACCCACTCACCCACTCACCCACCCACCCACCCACTCTCTCACCCACCCAACCACTCACCCACTCACTCACCCACCCACTCACCCACCCACCCACCAACCCCACCCTCCCACCCATTCACCCACCCACTCTCTCACCCACCAACCCTCCCACCCATTCACCCACCCACCCACTCTCTCACCCACCCACCCACTCTCTCACCCACCCACCCACCCACCCACTCTCCCACCCACCCACCCTCCCTCCCTCCCATTCTCCCACCCACCCAACCACTCACCCACTCCCCCACCCTCCCACCCACCCACCCACCCACCCACCCACCCACCCACTCTCACACCCACCCACCCACCCACTCTCTCACCCACCCACCCACTCTCTCACCCACCCATCCACCCACCCACTCACCCTCCCACCCACCCACCCACTCACCCACCCACCCACTCACCCACCCACCCACCCACTCACCCACCCACCCACTCACCCACCCTCCCACCCACTCCCCACCCACCCACTCACCCACCCACTCACCCACTCCCCCACCCACCCACCCATTCACGCACCCACCCACCCACTCTCTCACCCACCCACCCACCCACTCTCTCACCCACCCACCCACCCACCAACCCACTCTCTCACCCACCCACCCACTCTCTCACGCACCCACCCACCCACGCACCCACCCACCCACTCTCTCACCCACCCACCCACTCTCTCACCCACCCACCCACCCACCAACCCACTCTCTCACCCACGCACCCACTCACCCTCTCACCCACCCTCTCACCCACCCTCTCACCCACCCTCTCACCCACCCTCTCACCCACCCTCTCACCCACTCCCCCACCCACTCACCCACCCACCCACCCACTCACCCACGCACTCTCTCACCCACCCACCCACCAACCCACCCTCCCACCCACCCTCCCACCCATTTACCCACCCACCCACTCTCTCACCCACTCCCCCACCCACCCACCCACTCACCCACCCACCCACTCTCTCACCCACCCACCCACTCTCTCACCCACCCACTCACTCTCTCACCCACCCACTCCCCCACCCACTCACCCAACCACCCACCCACCCACTCCCCCACCCACCCTCCCACCCACCCACCAACTACCCCACCCACCCACTCCCCCACCCACCCACCCACCCACCCACACACCCACCCACTCCCCCACCCACCCACCCACTCCCCCACCCACCCACCCACTCACTCACCCACCCACCCACTCCCCCACCCACCCACCCACCCTCCCACCTGGTTGAAGGAGGTCTCTTTGAGAGTCTGTGGACCACGTTCCATCATGCTGTGCAGTGGCTCCAGCACCGTGAACATTCCCCTGACGTTGCGCTCGCCAAAGTAGAGGCGGGAGGCCTCCTCCAGCCCCTCGTGCCACAGCTCGTGCCACAGGATGGCCACGCGAATCAGCTCCTCACTCACCTGGGCGGGGGAGAGGGTGGGTGGGTGAGTGGGTGGGGGAGTGGGTGGGTGGGTGGGTGAGTGGGTGGGTGATAGGATGGGTGAGTGGGTGAGTGGGTGGGTGATAGGATGGGTGAGTGGGTGGGTGAGGGAGTGGGTGGGTGAGAGAGTGGGTGAGTGGGTGGGTGGGTGATAGGATGGGTGAGTGGGTGGGTGAGGGAGTGGGTGAGTGGGTGAGTGGGTGGGTGAGGGAGTTGGTGGGTGGGTGGGTGGGTGAGAGGGTGGGTGAGTGGGTGAGGGAGTGGGTGGGTGAGGGAGTGGGTGGGTGAGTGGGTGGGTGGGTGAGAGGGTGGGTGAGTGAGTGGGTGGTTGAGGGAGTGGGTGGGTGAGTGGGTGGGTGGGTGAGAGGGTGGGTGGGTGAGAGGGTGGGTGAGTTGTTGGGTGAGGGAGTGGGTGGGTGAGTGGGTGAGAGGGTGGGTGAGTGGGTGGGTGGGTGAGAGGGTGGGTGGGGGAGAGGGTGGGTGGGTGAGAGGGTTGGTGAGTGGGTGGGTGGGGGAGAGGGTGGGTGGGTGAGTGGGTGGGTGAGGGAGTGGGTGGGTGAGTGGGTGGGTGGGTGAGAGGGTGGGTGGGTGAGTGGGTGGGTGGGTGATAGGATGGGTGAGTGGGTGGGTGAGGGAGTGGGTGAGTGGGTGAGTGAGTGGGTGGGTGAGTGGGTGGGTGAGGGAGTGGGTGGGTGAGTGAGTGGGTGGGTGAGAGGGTGGGTGAGGGAGTTGGTGGGTGGGTGGGTGGGTGAGAGGGTGGGTGGGTGAGAGGGTGGGTGGGGGAGAGGGTGGGGGAGAGGGTGGGTGGGTGAGAGGGTGGGTGGGGGAGAGGGTGGGTGGGTGGGGGAGAAGGTGGGTGGGTGGGTGAGAGGGTGGGTGGGTGATAGGATGGGTGAGAGGGTGGGTGAGTGGGTGGGTGAGAGGGTGGGTGGGTGAGAGGGTGGGTGAGAGGGTGGGTGGGTGGGTGAGTGGGTGGGTGAGTGGGTGAGAGGGTGGGTGGGTGAGTGGGTGGGTGAGAGGGTGGGTGAGAGGGTGAGGGGGTGGGTGGGTGAGAGAGTGAGTGGGTGGGTGGGGGAGTTGGTGGGTGAGTGGGTGGGTGAGGGAGTTGGTGGGTGGGTGGTGAGAGGGTGGGTGGGTGGGTGAGAAGGTGGGTGGGTGGGTGAGAGGGTGGGTGAGTGGGTGGGTGGGTGAGTGGGTAGGTGATAGGATGGGTGAGTGGGTGAGGGAGTGGGTGGGTGAGAGAGTGGGTGGGTGGGTGAGAGAGTGGGTGGGTGGGTGGGTGAGAGGGTGGGTGGGTGAGAGAGTGGGTGAGTGGGTGGGTGAGAGAGTGGGTGGGTGGGTGGGTGAGAGGGTGGGTGGGTGATAGGATGGGTGAGTGGGTGGGTGAGGGAGTGGGTGAGTGGGTGAGTGGGTGAGTGGGTGGGTGAGTGGGTGGGTGATAGGATGGGTGAGTGGGTGGGTGAGGGAGTGGGTGGGTGAGAGAGTGGGTGGGTGAGAGGGTGAGGGAGTGGGTGAGTGAGAGAGTGGGTGAGTGGGTGGGTGGGCGAGGGAGTGGACGAGTGGGTGAGAGGTTGGGTGGGTGGGTGAGGGAGTGGGTGGGTGAGAGGGTGCGAGGGTGGGTGAGTGGGTGGGTGGGTGAGAGGGTGGGTGGGTGGGTGAGAGGGTGGGTGAGTGGGTGAGTGGGTGAGAGGGTGGGTGATAGGATGGGTGAGTGGGTGGGTGAGGGAGTGGGTGAGAGAGTGAGTGGGTGGGTGGGGGAGTTGGTGGGTGAGTGGGTGGGTGAGGGAGTTGGTGGGTGGGTGGGTGGGTGGGTGAGAGGGTGGGTGGGTGGGTGAGAGGGTGGGTGGGTGGGTGAGAGGGTGGGTGAGTGGGTGGGTGGGTGAGTGGGTGGGTGATAGGATGGGTGAGTGGGTGGGTGAGGGAGTGGGTGAGTGGGTGGGTGAGTGGGTGAGTGAGTGGGTGGGTGAGAGAGTGAGTGGGTGGGTGGGGGAGTTGGTGGGTGAGTGGGTGGGTGAGGGAGTTGGTGGGTGGGTGGGTGGGTGAGAGGGTGGGTGGGTGGGTGAGAGGGTGGGTGGGTGGGTGAGAGGGTGGGTGAGTGGGTGGGTGGGTGAGTGGGTGGGTGATAGGGTGGGTGAGTGGGTGGGTGAGGGAGTGGGTGAGTGGGTGGGTGAGTGGGTGAGTGAGTGGGTGGGTGAGAGAGTGAGTGGGTGGGTGGGGAGTTGGTGGGTGAGTGGGTGGGTGAGGGAGTTGGTGGGTGGGTGGGTGGGTGAGAGGGTGGGTGGGTGGGTGAGAGGGTGGGTGGGTGGGTGAGAGGGTGGGTGAGTGGGTGGGTGGGTGAGTGGGTGGGTGATAGGATGGGTGAGTGGGTGGGTGAGGGAGTGGGTGAGTGGGTGGGTGAGTGGGTGAGTGAGTGGGTGGGTGAGAGAGTGAGTGGGTGGGTGGGGGAGTTGGTGGGTGAGTGGGTGGGTGAGGGAGTTGGTGGGTGGGTGGGTGAGAGGGTGGGTGGGTGGGTGAGAGGGTGGGTGGGGGAGAGGGTGGGTGGGGGAGAGGGTGGGTGGGTGAGAGGGTGGGTGGGGGAGAGGGTGGGTGGGTGGGGGAGAGGGTGGGTGGGAGGGTGAGTGGGTGGGTGGGTGAGTGGGTGGGTGATAGGATGGGTGAGTGGGTGGGTGAGGGAGTGGGTGGGTGAGAGAGTGGGTGGGTGAGAGGGTGAGGGAGTGGGTGAGTGGGTGAGTGAGTGTATGAGTGAGTGTATGAGTGTGTGAGTGAGTGTATGAGTGAGTGAGTGTATGAGTGAGTGAGTGTATGAGTGAATGTATGAGTGAGTGTATGAGTGAGTGCATGAGTGAGTGAGTGTATGAGTGAGTGAATGAGTGAGTGTATGAGTGAGTGAGTGTACGAGTGAGTGAGCGTACGAGTGAGTGAGTGTACGAGTGAGTGAGTGTACAAGTGAGCGAGTGTATGAGTGAGTGAGCGTACGAGTGAGTGAGTGTATGAGCGAGTGAGTGTACGAGTGAGTGAGTGTACAAGTGACCGAGTGAGTGAGTGTACGAGTGAGTGAGTGTACGAGTGAGTGAGTGTACGAGTGAGTGAGTGTACGAGTGAGTGAGTGTACGAGCGAGTGAGTGAGTGTACGAGTGAGTGAGTGTACGAGCGAGTGAGCGAGCGAGTGAGTGAGTGTACGAGTGAGTGAGTGTACAAGTGACCGAGTGAGTGAGTGTACGAGTGAGTGAGTGTATGAGTGAGTGTACGAGTGAGTGTATGAGTGAGTGAGTGTACGAGTGAGTGTATGAGTGAGTGAGTGACCGAGTGAGTGTATGAGTGAGTGAGTGACCGAGTGAGTGAGTGTACGAGTGAGTGTATGAGTGAGTGAGTGTACGAGTGAGTGAGCGTACGAGTGAGTGAGTGTACGAGTGAGTGAGTGAGTGTACGAGTGAGTGAGTGTACAAGTGAGCGAGTGTATGAGTGAGTGAGCGTACGAGTGAGTCAGTGTATGAGCGAGTGAGCCTATGAGTGAGTGAGTGTACGAGTGAGTGAGTGAGTGTACAAGTGACCGAGTGAGTGAGTGTACGAGTGAGGGAGTGTATGAGTGAGTGTATGAGTGTGTGAGTGAGTGAGTGTATGAGTGAGTGAGTGTATGAGTGAGTGAGTGTATGAGTGAATGTATGAGTGAGTGTATGAGTGAGTGCATGAGTGAGTGAGTGTATGAGTGAGTGAATGAGTGAGTGTATGAGTGAGTGAGTGTACGAGTGAGTGAGCGTACGAGTGAGTGAGTGTACGAGTGAGTGAGTGTACAAGTGAGCGAGTGTATGAGTGAGTGAGCGTACGAGTGAGTGAGTGTATGAGCGAGTGAGTCTATGAGTGAGTGAGTGTACGAGTGAGTGAATGAGTGTACAAGTGACCGAGTGAGTGAGTGTACGAGTGAGTGAGTGAGTGTACAAGTGACCGAGTGAGTGTACGAGTGAGTGAGTGTACGAGTGAGTGAGTGTACGAGTGAGTGAGTGTCTGAGTGTACGAGTGAGTGAGTGTACGAGCGAGTGAGTGTATGAGTGAGCGAGTGTACGAGTGTACGAGTGAGTGAGTGTATGAGTGAGTGAGTGAGTGTATGAGTGAGTGTACGAGTGAGTGAGTGACCGAGTGAGTGAGTGTACGAGCGAGTGAGTGAGTGTACGAGTGAGCGAGTGAGTGTACGAGCGAGCGAGCGAGCGAGCGAGTGAGACACTACTCACCAGTATCGCCTGGTTCACCAAGTTACTGCTGTGCTCACACATGTTGCTCAGGATCTTGTTAGCAGCGTTGTGACGCTCAGGGCTAGCTGACTTGGAGGCTACCGTCAGAGGGTAAATCAGCGCCTGCAACAGAACGGCAACTTCGTGGTGAGAATCCGATCGGGGGGGGGGGGTGGGAGGGGTGCTGCCGCTACCGGCAAAATCTCACCGACTTACAAACTTTCGGAAGGCACTAACTGACCGGGCCCGTGACGGACACAATGAGAATGTTTTTTCGTTGGGTTGGATGGCGGTGATATGAAAAGAGCGTCTTCGGAATAAGCCAATACGCCCGCCAGGGCCATACTAGCTTGGGGGGGGGGGGGGGGTTGTCTCGCAACTCGTGAAGAACCAGTGGCATCTACATCTGTAGAACGTGGAGAACCAGTGACATCTACATCTGTAGAGCGTGAAGAACCAGTGGCATCTACATCTACAGAACGTGAAGAACCAGTGGCATCTACAGAAAGTGAAGAACCAGTGGCATCTACATCTACAGAACGTGAAGAACCAGTGGCATCTACATCTACAGAATGTGAAGAACCAGTGGCATCTACATCTGTAGAACGTGAAGAACCAGTGGCATCTACAGAACGTGAAGAACCAGTGGCATCTACATCTGTAGAACGTGAAGAACCAGTGGCATCTACATCTGTAGAACGTGAAGAACCAGTTGCATCTATAGAACGTGAAGAACCAGTGGCATCTACATCTGTAGAACGTGAAGAACCAGTTGCATCTATAGAACGTGAAGAACCAGTGGCATCTACAGAGCGTGAAGAACCAGTGGCATCTACATCTACAGAACGTGAAGAACCAGTGACATCTACATCTGTAGAACGTGAAGAACCAGTGGCATCTACATCTACAGAGCGTGAAGAACCAGTGGCATCTACATCTGTAGAGCGTGAAGAACCAGTGGCATCTACATCTACAGAACGTGAAGAACCAGTGGCATCTACAGCTGTAGAACGTGAAGAACCAGTGGCATCTACAGAATGTGAAGAACCAGTGGCATCTACATCTGTAGAACGTGAAGAACCAGTGGCATCTACAGAAAGTGGAGAACCAGTGGCATCTACAGAATGTGAAGAACCAGTGGCATCTACATCTGTAGAACGTGAAGAACCAGTGCCATCTACATCTACAGAACGTGAAGAACCAGTGGCATCTACATCTGTAGAACGTGAAGAACCAGTGGCATCTACATCTGTAGAACGTGAAGAACCAGTGGCATCTACATCTACAGAACGTGAAGAACCAGTGGCATCTACATCTGTAGAACGTGAAGAACCAGTGGCATCTACATCTACGGAACATGAAGAACCAGTGGCATCTACATCTACAGAACGTGAAGAACCAGTGGCATCTACATCTGTAGAACGTGAAGAACCAGTGGCATCTACATCTACAGAACGTGAAGAACCAGTGGCATCTACATCTACAGAACGTGAAGAACCAGTGGCATCTACATCCACGGAACATGAAGAACCAGTGGCATCTACATCTACAGAACGTGAAGAACCAGTGGCATCTACATCTGTAGAACGTGAAGAACCAGTGGCATCTACAGAAAGTGAAGAACCAGTGGCGTCTACATCTGTAGAACGTGAAGAACCAGTGGCATCTACAGAAAGTGAAGAACCAGTGGCGTCTACAACTATAGAACGTGAAGAACCAGTGGCATCTACAGAAAGTGAAGAACCAGTGGCATCTACATCTGTAGAACGTGAAGAACCAGTGGCATCTACATCTACAGAACGTGATGAACCAGTGGCATCTACATCTGTAGAACGTGAAGAACCAGTGGCATCTACATCTACAGAACGTGAAGAACCAGTGGCATCTACATCTACAGAACGTGAAGAACCAGTGGCATCTACATCTGTAGAACGTGATGAACCAGTGGCATCTACAGAGCGTGAAGAACCAGTGGCATCTACATCTACAGAACGTGAAGAACCAGTGACATCTACATCTGTAGAACGTGAAGAACCAGTGGCATCTACATCTACAGAGCGTGAAGAACCAGTGGCATCTACATCTGTAGAACGTGAAGAACCAGTGGCATCTACATCTGTAGAACATGAAGAACCAGTGGCATCTACATCTACAGAACGTGAAGAACCAGTGGCATCTATATCTGCAGAACGTGAAGAACCAGTGGCATCTACATCTGCAGAACGTGAAGAACCAGTGGCATCTACATCTGCAGAACGTGAAGAACCAGTGCCATCTACATCTACAGAACGTGAAGAACCAGTGGCATCTACAGAAAGTGAAGAACCAGTGACATCTACATCTGCAGAACGTGAAGAACCAGTGGCATCTACATCTGTAGAACGTGGAGAACCAGTGGCATCTACATCTGCAGAACGTGATGAACCAGTTGCATCTACAGAACGTGAAGAACCAGTGGCATCTACATCTGCAGAACGTGGAGAACCAGTGGCATTTACATCTACAGAACGTGAAGAACCAGTGGCATTTACATCTACAGAACGTGAAGAACCAGTGGCATCTACATCTGTAGAACGTGAAGAACCAGTGGCATTTACATCTACAGAACGTGAAGAACCAGTGGCATCTACATCTGTAGAACGTGAAGAACCAGTGGCATCTACATCTACAGAACGTGAAGAACCAGTGGCATCTACATCTGCAGAAAGTGAAGAACCAGTGGCATCTACATCTGCAGAAAGTGAAGAACCAGTGGCATCTACATCTACAGAACGTGAAGAACCAGTGGCA